CTTTCAAAAGCGTCACTTAATCCTTTGAAGTGGTTTTTGTATGTTGAAATCGAGTGTATTTTTCAACGTTTCCGGAAAAGGAAAATTCAAAACGGAGGACGAAGAGGGGTTCCCCATCTATGTTATCAGTGGGAATACCGCGGAATTCCGCAATGCGATACAATAAGAATGCGTATTTTCCGGGGTATACCCAGCGCTCAGATGACCCGATGGTGGAACAGGAATCTGCAACAAAAAAGGCGGCCATGTTGGTCGCGCTCTTCACATACCTAATTAAAGTGAGAATTTCACACGTACCGAAATAATAAAAATAACACATGCTATTAACATCCCTTCTTGTATAATTAAAATATATTATTAACGTCCATTTCCATCATGTTAATAAAATAATTTAAATCGATCACCAAAATAATAAGTATGTACTTTAAAAGACTCGATTTCTGTTCTGTCCTGGCTGTGTGTGACGATTATGTGATATCTGGTACCACCTCCATGCATGTTTGCATAACGTCATGTTCGGATTCACTTGTGGAGATCACGTGTTTCCATCCCTCTAGTTGAGATCCTACTGGTGGAGGTCTGCAGCCAGACCCTTCTCTCTGCAGCTGGACCCTCTTGTCTCAGTTTGTTTCCCCAGTCCGGTCATTGGGTGCGTTCGACTTGCTTACAGCGCTGGCTTAAAGCAACGCATTCTGATCCTGACGCAATGCATTACGGTTAGATGCATTGCGACCTCTCACCCGGCTGCACAAACTGGAACCGCCTCCGTGACGACACACCATTCCCCTTATTGGTTGAGGAGTTTAGTTACACGCATGACGTTTGTATCCCAGGCAGTTCAGATGCGTAATCTGCTATTTCTCCCGAATATCACGTAAAGCAGTGAGAACTGGTTTTCAGTTAATTTACCTGGTAAAATAAAGTTTAAATAAATGACATAAATGCTCTACTAGTACACGTAAGTTAATGGTTTATTTATTCTGTCCTGGGTTTTACCTAATTAATAAAAAAAAATCACAAAAATGATGCATCGACCTTAATTATTAAGAAGTATCAATATCGGTATCGTATCGGCGATACTTTCCCTGTATTTTAGAGGTGTAACGATACGCGTATTCGTATTGAACCGTTCGGTACGAGACTTTCGATTCGGTACGCATTACAAACCGAACGATTCAGAAAAATACTTTTATCCCTCTGGAGTCTACGGCATCGTCAGCGATGCGGAGTATCTTTCTTGTCTATTTCAGTTCATAACTCGCTGAAATCTTATTACAGAAACATGAAAAAAACGCTGACTAAATCCGTAATCGGTTTTCTTTTCAAAACGTCCATTGTCGGAAGTATTAAAGTTTTTAAAATTAGGTTAAATCGGCAAGAAAGTAAATCATGTCACCTTACTTTGTTTTACCTGCATCGGGGGCGTGTAGTACCGCTCTCACCTGAAGATCGCTATTCACATTCTAAATAGCCACATTAGCGCGTATTCAAATCGCATTCGCATGGTAATTTTATTAACAGCGCAACGGTGAAACGCGATCAAGAAACATTCCAGTCAGAGCCATAAAAGGGGGGGAGGGATGTGGCCAGGTGACAATGGCTCATTCATACACATGAAAGTTGCTACATATTCAATGAAAGGAGCCAAAAATAGTGACATGAGTTCGGTTTTTCTTATTTATAAATCCAACTGAATGT